GGGAACATGTGACAAAGCATTACTACATGGAAACACCACTCAGCGGGCACCACTCACTCTCCCCATCCAGACGCCATGGGCTCAGCCATGGGCATGAAAATGGGAAGTGGCAGGATGGGAGACCTGGAGGTATGAAGTCTAATGAAAAGAGCACAGAGGTCCATTGGGTCTGTTGGTCAATGGCATCATCTCCTGCAAACAGGCCCAGTTAGCACCCCCACACAACTGACCTGTGACATCCACATGGAAGGTGACCTTCTGGCCCCCGGCCTCGCAGCTGTACTCCCCACTGTCCGCCTTGCCCGCCTGCTGCAGCACCAGCTGCTGTGTGCAGCCCTTGGCCTCCATGCGCACTTTCGAGCTCCCACTCAGCTTCTTGCCGTCCTTGTACCACGTCACCTGAGTCTGGGCCTGGGCCATCTCGCAGCTCAGTGTGGTGCTGGCCCCCTCCACAGCCTGCACCTCACTGCGTGCTGGCTGCTCTTTGGCAAACACCATCTTGGGCTCTGGGGACAGGGAGGGAAACACAGTCAGCGGCCCCACAGAGGTGAGCTCTGGAGCCACAACAGAGGCTCAGACACCAGAAAACCACGGGTCCCCATGAGATCTTTTGTGCTCAGGCACTGCACCACAACCCTCCCAGGAACAGGGGGGCCTGACTGGTGCCTCAGGACAGAGGGAAGCATAGGGAGCTGNAGAGGGAAGCATAGGGGCCAAGCAGAGACCTCCCTCCTGGGGGTCAGGATAGGGTCCAGCAGGACTCAGACAATGCACCAAGAGGCCCCAGTGGCTTCTAGGAAGAGCCAGGACCGCATATTCACTGAGATCCAAATCTATCCTGATGAGGGTGCTTCCAGCACCTTTTGAGTCCTCAACCTCCTTTGAGAACAAGGACTTCGAATTCCTTCTGCTTTGGCGTTGTTCATCCATCTCAAGGTGAGTTTCCTGGGGAATTTCTTCTCCCAATTCCAAGCATCTGCCCGCCCCCACCATTTGCATAAGCAACAAAGAGCCTGGCAGCATTGCCTTGCAAGTGCCAGATGGAGCTGGACCTGCTCCCCGCCCACCAAGCCCAGGAGTTGCTGGATCCCCACAGACACACAGCTGGAAATCCATGAAATGTTCGCCCACGCGGCATGAATAGGTGCCCTCGTCCTGCCTGGTGACTGAGTTAGCCACCAGCCAATGCCGCGTACCCACATCCTCCTACAAGAAGTGTGGGCAGGAGTGGTCGAGCTCCAAGCCACCCTTGAACCAGTGCACGGGCATGTGGGCCTCCACAGTCTTACACTCAAAGTAAGCTGGGCCCCTGGCCACCGTGTCCACTCAGCCACTTGCAGAGTCCGTGTACAGAAAGGGTGTGAGCTCTGCAAGGGCAGCTGGGGGTCAGAGGCAGGAAAGAGCTCTGACTACGAGCATACCCACACATTAGCAAATGGAGGTGCTCAGGGCTTCCGGACCATGTGGAACCCTGGCTCAGCCCAGACCAGGGTCCTCTTCACACAGGGAACTGACTTCCAACCACCCAGTGCCATGGACTGTTAGGACTTCCCCACAGGGTCCCTCCCTCTACTGAACAGAGCTCCAGTCCCCACTCTCCCCATGAGGTAGGCTAGCCTCCTCCCATGCCCTCCCTGTCCCCTTGGAGTCACCTGAGCCTACCCCTCTCTCACCTGTGACGGCAGTCACCTGAAACTTCCCCCCTAACCTACCCCCCCACAGAGAACATCAGCTCCCACTGCCCTGACCCCCTAGAGCCTGCCTAGAGTTGGGACACAGAATGTTGTGGCTGTAGCAGTGGCCAGGAGGACGTGGACACACATGGACACACACACACACCTTGAATTGACAGGTGGTAGGCAAAGCGTCCCCCACGGCTGACACACTCGTACAGGCCAGCATCGTCTTGCGCCACGTCCCGCACCAGCAGCGCCCGCTGTCCTGCGGAAGCCTGCACCTTGTACTTGGGGCCTGGGGGCAGTGCTCGGCCGTCCTTGAGCCATGTTACAGCTGCAGCCTGGTCCGACAGCTCAGCCAGGAGCTGTGCCTCCTCGTGCAGCCGGGCCATCACCTCCCGAACCTCTGCTGGGCGCTTGGTGGTCAGCCCTGGGGCCACTGGGGGCCCCCACAGGTGGAGAAAGAGGGTGTGGAGTGAGGGGGTTTTGGAGGGAGGAGTTGTGGTCAGAGGAAGGGGAGGAAGTGGACCGAGAGGGGAGGAGGAGGAGGGAAAGAGAAGCAAACAGATGGAGACATGAGGCTCTGCATCATCAGAAGCCCCCAGCCCCTTGTCCACTCACAGACTGGGACACCCTCCAGACTGGGCAAGCTGCTTCCCATACCCCAGCCCCCCATCTGGTCCTGCTTGTCCAGGCCACACACCCAGCAACCCACCAGCACTCTCCAGGAGCCCTGGGGCCTAGAAACACATGTCCCACTCCTGCCCCCACCCTCAGAAGAAACAGAACTTGGAGAGACCCCAGGAGTCAAGGGCTGGGGTCCTACCTCGGACCTCCATGCGGATCTTGTTCTCAATGCCATTGGCCACAAACTTGAGCTCGGCACCATGAAGGCTGGCAGGCACTGAGCGGATGGTGAGGGTGTGCCGGGTGCCATCGCAGCGGATCACATACATGCTGCTGGCCTTCAGGCTCTGCCCGTCCAGGAACCACTCTCCCGCAGAAACCGAAGTGAGGTCCACAGAGAAGGTCACCTCACTGCCTTCTACCGCCTCCACCGCCTTCAGAGGCGTCTTGACAGCCAGCTGGGGTGCTGCAGAGTGGGGGCTTCAGGAAGCAGCAGGGCACCTGACCTCCCCTCTTCTTCCTCCCCCAGAGCTTGGACCCAAATGCCCCCTCCTCTAGGAAGCACATCAGACATGTGTACAGCAACCATGGGCTCACATGGGCTCAGCAACCATGAGATCACAGGGCTCAGGACTGAGTGGGGACAAATTAGAGCCACCCAAGATCCCCTCCGGATCCCACAAACCAAAGGTAGGGGGTGCAGCTGTGCAGCTGGGTCCCCTGGGGCTTGTGGACACAGATAGGTTCCTAGGGCGCTCAAGTCCTGTCTCAGGGTCCCTTCCCCTTCCCACAGAGGAGGCTCCAACAGCATCAGGACCCTGGTACCCTCCCCCCAATAAAGAGGCTTCATGAATCACTGTGGCTTCACTGAAGCTGGGCTATGCTCTAGATCTGGATGACTGAGCCACAGAAGGTATCCCAGAAGCCATGGGGAACAGAACCTTCCACACTTACCCAGGTGGACAGTCCCGGGGAACTCAAGGTAGGAACTCTGGCCAAAGCTGTTTACAGCTGACACCCGGAACTGGAAGTCTCCCTCCTCAGCCACGCAGTCTACAGTCAGCTCAGGCGTGGCTACCCACTCGGCCTCATGGCACCGGCTCCAGGTATAGGTGCCCAGTCGCTTCTTCTCCACCAGGTAGCCATCAATGGTGACAGGGCGGTCCCCGTGGGGTGGTGGGGACCAGCTGAGAGTTACGGAATTCTCTGTCTTGGCCTTCACCACAGGGGCCTCAGGGGTGTGCGGTGGTGGCTTCCTGGGGGCTGGGAAGAGCACAGGCCCTTGTCACCAACTGGGAGCCCCTCCCTGAGTCACAGGCCCAGGATCACCCTGGAGAGAGTGATCACAGAATCTCCAGCCCTCTTAGGGGGCACTGCTCTGAAGGTATGAAATGGCCACAGCCTGGTGTGGAAGGCCAACCTGAGGGGAGGCTATAGGCCATGACCCCTGGGCCACCCTGTGGCCATTTCTCCAGTTGCAGCAGAAAGGGCAGCCTGGCTTTGGTGCCACATTTGGCCCAAGGCACCATGGGCTGTCCATGTAGCCTGGGGACAGACACCTTCCAGTTCTGGGCCTTGACCCCATCAGCGTGTTGGGGTCCTGGCCAGGCAGTGGCTGAAGCAAAGCACAGTGACCCTCCTGAGGGTGCTGGGACCATGTGGAGGGGCACATCCCTGCCCCCAGCCAACAGCTAGCTCTGGGAACCATCACCTAATCTACAATGTAGACATCAAAGGCCACCGAAAGAAGACCTGCTCACACAGGACAGCCTCCTACCACACACACACACACACACACACACACACACACTTTGCTTCTAGGACAATCTGCACCTTCTAATTTGGTTGGTGGGGTGAGGAGCTACCAAGACTCCCACTCTGCCAATGCCTGAAGAGACCACAGTGGAGGACTGCAAACAATTCAGGGTGTGAGGGAACCAGAGCTACAGCCTGAACGTGATGTGCCCCCATGCCCTTCCTGGGGCTACTGAGCATGGATGGTGACAAGCGGCACCTCTTCTATTGGAGAGAAGCTCCCCAGGCCTTTACCTGACACGAAGAACTGGGTGGACGTCCGGCAGTCCCCAGCGACAAAGGCCACCTCACCCACATCCTCCAGGCTGCACTGGGAGATGGTTAGCGTGTGGCGTGTGCCTTCAGCGGTGATGGCTACCCGGCCCCCAGCCACCACCTCCTCATGGTTCCGGAGCCAGCGGACGGGGCCCTCTGGCCTGGCCAGCTCTACGCAGAACAAGGCAGTGTCCCCGACTCGCACCGCTGTCTTTCTCGGGAGCTTTCGGATGAGGTTGCCTAGGACGGCCAGAACCAGGGGCTGGTCAAACCAGACAGCCCGCCACCCCCTCCAGTCTCGTGGGCCC